AAAAAAACCCTGCAAAACAAAAATACAGAGAAATAGAGTCACAGGGGGACCACTGTGACTAGCAAACCAAACAGGTGTGAGGGTGGCCAAGGCAGAGCTATGGGGCTCTGTCACTAGCTGCATGACCTTGGGCAAACTGCTGACCTCTCTCTGCCTCATCTGTAAAATGGGGTTCCTAGTAGTACCTAGCCACTAGGTTTCAGAGAGGGTAAGGGAGATGACACAGCAGAATTCTCAGAGCAGGGCCTGGCACTCCACAGGTCTTCATGGGTGCTTGTCATCATTGCAAGCTGCATTCCATCACTGTGTGATGGGTACACAGTGCCTTCTGTGTGGCCCAGACAGGGTCAGGCACTGTGTACCCATCACTCCTTCAGTTCTCATAGTAACCCTATAAGGTGGGTGTGTTAGGCCCTTTATACAGATGGGGAGACCGAGGCTCAAAGAAGTACAGACAAACTCCAAACCTCCTGGAGAGTCAGGAGGTGTGACCTTGCACAGACTGCCTCCTTCTGTGGGGTTGTCAAGCCCTGGCTTGACTCGGCACTGCCAAGGGCCAGCTGCAGGCCTAGGGTCCTGTCTGGGCTGGGGATTCTCTGTGCTTTGCTTGGGGAAGGAACCGATGATGGCATTTTCTGCCCCTGGCACATGGGATGAACAAACGTCCCAGTGGAAACAAAAGGTGTGGGGCCAGCCCAAGCTCTGTTATGTGCTGTGGGCTGCAGTGACAGAGCTGGGGATCAGGCACCCTGGGTTCTGGGCTCTTCCTTGTCACTTTCCAGCTCTGTGACTTTGGGCAAAGGACCTAGTCTCTGAACAGCACTTTCCAGGGGGACAGTAGCATAGTGGTAAGAGAACCTGACATCTGGAGCCCCAGTGCTACCACCTAGTGTCCATGTCACCTTGGGTACAAGCCAGTCAGAGGCCCTGTGCCTCAGTTTCTTCAAAGGACCTCCTGGAATTACAGTGAGGATGGGATGAGCTAATTGGCAGTGCCTGCAAGAAAGGAGCCTTCAACAACTGTGGGCTGTGGCCACTGACAGGGCGTCATCTGTGAGCTAGGAATGGTAATCTCTGCTTCAAGGCATTGCTGGGAACAATAGGATGACTAGCTCACCATCTGGGACTGTCTACTCTCAGGAGTAGTTGCTCTTCGTCTGCAATCGCACCCTCATGCTTAACTTAGGACACACCAAGTGAAGAGAGCACTGGACTGAGAGTCAGATTGGGGGTCAGGGCCCAGCTTGTCCATTTCATTTATTCACCTTGCTGGGCCTCAGCCTCCTTATCCCTGCAAAGGGGACAGCAACATTACCAAGTCTTCTTGTAGATTAGGGGAGAGCACATGCCCAGGGCAACTAGGGTCAGGGGAAAATAGTGATGTTTGTTGAGTGACTCTTTGCCTGCCTGACTGTTTTCTGTCCTCTGTCCGCTGTGCCCCCCACCAGCTCCCAGGCCCCCTATGTCAGGCTGTTTGAAGAAGCCGCCTATGACCAGAGCCTGCCCGACTTCAGCCACATCCAGATGAAGGTCATGGGCTACAGTGAGGACCCCCGCCCCCTGCTGGGCCCCCAGCTGGGCCAGCTGAGTCTGGGAAGCAGTGATGGAGGAGAAGGCAGCCCTCAGGACATTCAGGCCTGGACAGAGGCCGCTGTTGTTGTTCACCGGGGCTCTGACGAGAATGAGGGTGAGCGAGACCCAACTCAGAGCAGGCCCGGGTGAGTGTGCAGAGTGCAGGAGTGGGGATGCTGCCCAGTCCAGGGTAAAGGAGGAGAGGGTACGGGGCCACCGAGGGGCAGTGGGGTTGTTGGGAGTAAGGAGAGGGCAGTGGAGGGTGTGGGTCACGCTGAGAGGCAGCAGAGGTAACAGCAGGGAGCGTAAGCTTAGGAGTAGGTGGGCCCTGGGTCAAACCCCAGCCCCTCTGCTGAGTAACCTTGGCATGTTCCTTACTCTCCTGGGCCTCAGTTTCCCCGCATGGGAATGAATGGTCACCCCTGCTACACAGGGATTAGAATACTTGGTACCTGGCCCACAGGAGCCCTCGCTCCCTCAGAATGCTCTCTGTGAATAGTGGAGGGTCGGGAGCCAGAGGGACCAGAGCACAAGTCTTGGCTCGGCTGCTGACCTGTTCCATGACCATGAGTAAGTCACTCCCCACCCCACTCCTGTCCCCCCACCGTCTGTTTGTGAACAGAGTTTCTTGTCCATCCGTTTAGTCATTCATTCCATCAGCATTGCTGGGCACCTACGCCCTGCCCAGCCTTGACTGGCCTCCTCCTTTTGGGAGCTCCCAGTCCAAGGGGGAAGGCAGGCCAGGAAACAGAATGCCTCAGTGTGACCAGACCTGTGAGACACCAGAGGGGGACCCTGAAGGCCTGGAGAAGCGTATGAGTGACCTGGTGTGGGTAGTAACATTTTAGCAGCCCTGTTTCTTGAGCACCTACTGTGTGCCAGGCACTGTGCCTTGCTCTCTGTACATATTCTCTGCTGTAAACCTTAGGAACAGCTGCAGGAGTGAATGTTGTTATTTCCCCCACTTGACAGGGGAGGAAACTGAGGCCAAAGAGGTGAATTAGCCTGCCCCAGGCCTTGCAGCTAGAGGCTGGGCTTTGGACCCAGGCAGTCTGACTCAGAGCTACCCTTTCCCTTGCAGTCTTTGCCCCTGCAGCCCCCCGACCTGTCCCCAGGGCCCTGCACCCTTGGCCTCCTTCCAAGAGGACCTGGACATGGGCTCCAGTGAAGACAGCAGCCCCAACCCATCTCCGCCTGACAGAGAGGAACCTCGGCCCCCTACACAGGAGCCCAAGGCCTACTGGTGCCAGCTGGATCGCTACAGCGACTTTGCCCTGATCGATGCCCCCACAGCAGAGGATGTGCCCTGTGGGGGGCAGCAGCAGGAGATGGCCCTGCCCCACAACTGGCAGCGGTCCCCAGGGACAGAGGAGGAGGAGGAGGAGGCTTTGGACACAGGCGCAGAGGAGCCTGAGGAAGAGGAGGAGGACTTGTACTATGGGCTGCCAGACAGCCCTGGGGACCCCTTCCCAGACAAGGACCTGGGCTTTGAGCCTGATGGAATTGCACCCTAGTTTGTAGCCTGGGACCACTGCTAACCCCTGTGTGCTCTCAAGGGCCTCAGCTTCCCCATCTGCAAAATGGGATTATATGGAGGTTCCAAAGACAAAGGACTTCTGAGCATTTTGAAAATTGTGAAGAAACACACAGGGACCGGGTGCGGTGGCTCGCACCTGTAATCCCAGCACTTTGGGAGGCCACAACGAGATCACTGGAGTCCAGGAGTTGAGGCTGCAGTGACCTATGATTGTGCCACTGCACTCTAGCTGGGGTGACAGAGCAAGACCAATCTCAAAAAAAAAAAAAAAAAAAACACAGGGAGGGGATAATTACTCGCCCAGGCCATTGCTCTTTCAATGATTGGTTTTCTTTGGCAAACCTTTGAAGATAAACTAGGACTCAATGAGAAGGTTTGCAGCAGCTGAGGCTCCCAAAAGCTCTTTCTGCTTCCCCGCAGCTGGACTCTGACAGGGACCCTCCTTGGTGCTAGCCCTGGGCCCCTGATCTTTATGAAGACCTGGGGGTTCCCATTCCACCTGGCAGATGGTGGGATCGTCTTCTCTCAGAGCCAACCACACCTCCTCCCGGCCCACATCCTCCCAAAGCTCCCGTTGCTCCTATGCCAGGATTCAAAACCTTCTGCAGCTGAGCCCTGCTGTCCTCGGGACTTTACCCCTGGGCAGCCTTCCTCATTCTCCCTGCTCTTCCAATTCCAGCCCCTCATCCAGCGTTTTTGTTCCTGCCCAAGCTGCCCTTCTCTGCCAGACTGCCCAGGCTCCCTTGCCAGGGTGGCAAACTCCTCATCCTTCAAACCCCTGAGCAGGTGAAAGATTTCCCGATGCTGCACCTCCTGGAACAAGGCAGTTCTTGCTCTGCTACCTCTGGGCCTTGTACATTTATCACAGTCATGTGACCCTGCTCCTGCCAAAGGGTAGCACTGTGACCTTGACACTTAGCTTGGTATCTCCTGTGTCTAGCTGGGACTCTGGCACTGGTCATCAAGGGCATACAGAACTCACCAGAACCCATGAACATTTACAGATAACATCACCCTCTCTCACTTGCCCAACTTTTAAATTCACAGTTCTTTTCCTCTTTGGTGTTCAGACTTCTAAATGTACATAGATGTGAATGTACAGACTTCAGCCTGTACAGAGCTACAAAGCCAGGCAGACAGTCCCTGGCAGACAGCTGCCCTCCCTCCACCTGCAGGATACATTTGCATTGATTTAGGATTGTGGGTGAAATTTAATTCAAATGCCACCTGAATCAGGTGGCTACTTCCTGAGTACCTGCTAAGTGCCAGACACCAAGCCAGGATCTCTAGGGGAGAGAGGTGTGAACTACTGATACAGGCCTGTCCTGGTCCTCAAAGGGCTCACAATCTAGCGAGCTTGACTTTTTATAAGTTGGGGACAGAGCGCAGAGCAGAAGCTGAGGCTGAGATGGGAAGAGAGAAACAAAAAACTGACACATCAGAGGAAGCAGAGTGACAAGCACACGGGGGCCTGAGGGCGCAGCAGCCGGTGGCACACTCAGCCTGCCTGGCAGCCACTGGAGATATCACCATATCACACTGCAGCCCCGCAGAGAGATGCTTTTATTATGCTGATTTCTGGGAAGCTTCCCTCTGTGCCCTGCCCCAGCAGCAGGGAAAAGGCCCTCCAACCAGGACCACACACTCAGAGCTCGCATCCTGGGCCACCTGGGAGTGGACAGCCTCCATCAGGTGGGTGGGCCCTGGGTTAAGGTTGGTGGTCCTGGCCAGGGGAAGAGATGCCCCCTGTGCTGGGTCCGAAGGGCACGCCCTCTGGAGCACATGCCCTCTTCTTTCTGGGTCATTTCTGCCTCTGTAGTGAAGGGTGCCGCCGGGCACCTCCTCTCTGCTGGTGTGACACAGGGACAGGTGTTCCTGCTCATGGCCTGAGTACTCAGATGAGGTGAGGTGTGGCACCGCCCATGCTCTGCTGACTCAGGCAGGGCAGTCTGTGACCTGCATCAGAAGGAACGCCAGCCAATGGCTAAAATAAAACAGTTTCCAACATTTAAAGCGGTCACCTTCATTCACCTGCAAATTCTTTTCTGTAAAACCACCCGTTCCCCCTGGGGCAGGATAAATGAGGTGGCACAGCCTGGCAGGCCCAGGGGTCCTCCAGGAAGCCACCACAGTGGCCAGGCAGCAGGGGTGGCTGTGGTGGTGCTGGATCTCAGAAGCAGCCCCCACCCCCCTGAACCACACCGGCAGGGCCTTCAACACAAATGAGACCCTCTGGCTGCCAGGCCTGTCTGTCAGGGCTCTGCAGGAGCTTGGGGCAGTGGAGAGCGATGGCAAGACCCCCGTTGGTCTACCCCCATCCTGCTGTGTGATGGGGAGGCCACACGCCCATCTGCCCCCCAGGTCCTGGTTTATGTCTGGCTGTGAGTAGCGCTCCCTCTCACACTCAGGACTGTCCCATCTAGACACTCACTGTGAGTCACCTTACCTACAGCGTGACCTTGGGCAGGTCCAGTTGCCTCTGTGGACCTCAGTCTCCTCATGCACAAACAGGAGATGACGTATCCTGTCTCTGAATCTTGCAGGGTGGTGGGGGTACTGAGAGGCTCTGCCCGTCAATTCCCTGCCACCAGAGAGCACCAGGTGTGCACCTGCAGTCAGCAGGGCCACTTGTCGCTGTGAGGGTGGGACAAGCGCTGTGGGGAACCACAGGGTGTCTCTGAACAAGGGCGTCATAAAGGACGTGTTATAGGCTCTGGGCTGATGTGAGGTGGTCTGGGGAGGGTTTTAGGGAAGCTCCAGAGGGCATGCTGCCAGGAGGCAGGGCTAATTCTATGACTGGGCGTCTTCCTCAATCTTATCCAGAAGGAAGGAAGACCAGACCATCTCAAAGTGTCCGTCATCATATAGACAGGAAGGAGGTGTTTGGCCATCTCTGTTCACATTTTGCACGCGCTCGGCACTGATAACTGCCGAGTGGTCTTGCTTTGTGTTGACCTATCATGGTCAGAGTGGCTGTCGGATGATGCTGGGATTCTGTGAAGTTCATATCCATTGCCAGAACACCAAGTCCTGCAGAGAGGGCCAGGCCGGTCAGGTTGCTGCGCCCTGGAGGTCTCGTTGCTGCTGAGTGGGGAGGGAAAGGAACGTGCTGTGAGTTTTGTTTGCAGCCGCAGCTTTAAACATTTGAAGACGGAGCAGGGGATGCTGATACCTTCAGCTTGGGGCACCATGAGGGATATGACTAGTCCCCCTAACTTCCTACACCATGCAATCCCACCCTGGCTCCTCCCTCCCCTCTAAGAACACCAGCGTCTCTGGAGAGTCCCCTCTTCTTGTTGTTCAGTTGGGTAGGAGGGGGACAAGGTGCTCATGAGGATGGG